CTTTTGTGCATATGTGCAGGAAAGATTCCTCTTGCCCACCCTACAAAAGCTTTCCGTCCTGCTAATATGCTGTTGAACACTGGCATCCAATACTTCAGTTGGATAACATGAAACAGAAATACCACTACAAAATTTAGAGACTGGGGAGAAAGCAGCATTTCATTCCAGTAAGTGAAATTATCATTTTATCTTCATCTGTTATCAACGTTAACATTTGCAATTGTGTCACTAAACAAAGATGGCTAAATTGAGCAGCACAGGTAGGAAATACAAGTATTTGTTATTTAGACAGATGATCATTCAAACAGGATTTACCTTGTCAGTCATTTTTTCCTATAATGTCTTCTAAACTGGAGAACATCTCACAAAAGCAGAAAAAGTAGAACCACATAAATAGGGATTTCTTTTACTTCGCTATATTTTGCTTATAAATATCATATTAAATTAATATTAAATTCCCTGTTATAAAAAAATTGCTGTTAACTTACAGCACATTTGGAAAGTATAAACAAGCTTCAAAGCAAAAATGTTTTGTAGGAATTTTTCTATTACTCTCTTTAATTGAAAAATTTTAACCACCACAGCACAACACAATATATTGTAGAACTCCTATTAAGCATCAACAAAATTGCTTTGCTACAGTAATACAATAGCAAATAGGATTCAAGAGAAGTAATCTAGTTTTTATCTAATTCTAGTAGTTTGATTTTATCAGACCTCAGTTATAGCTGTGGAAATCCAAATCATAGCATTAAAGCATTCTACTTCACAAGCCAGCATAAACTGAAGTACTTCAGATTCTTCCTTGCTATTTTTCAGATGAGAGTGAAAAAAATAATTTTAATGTATCCTGAACAAACCATTACTTTGCGTGTGTGCACACATGAGTGTGCTCACCCACAGCCTTCAGGATTTTTTAATATACAGAACAGTTACTTTGCTCTTGTATGTATAAGGTAATAGAAAGAGCATGGTTCTTCCTGTCTCATGGCATTCTGTGCTCTCTTCTTATGGACATTCAATTTTTATTTGGTCGGGTTTTTATTTTTTTTTAATCCTAGGAATACCACTGCTGATTAAAGGGGCTTCACTATTCCTACATAATTCCCTCTTCCTCACACAGACACTGTAAGTGAAATGGTCAAGAATGCTGACATGCTTTTTCACCGGAAAAGATATATCTGTCTCTAACATCAGGAGAAAAATAACATGCAGAGGTTTTACTGGAGTGAGAAACTGGTGACTGAGAACTGGTTATGTGGGCAACAAACAACCGTGTTTTGGTGTCCACCTACCTGATTCAGTTCATGGCAAGCTCCTGGTTTCCCAGAACATTGCACACCAATGTATTCTCTCACATACCTGAAAGGTTCATAACAATACCTGTCATGGAACAGAAAAATGTGGCTTTTCAGGAATTGTAAGGGAACAGGAAATGTCCTCCTAGGCCAGTTGTTTAGCCAATCCAGTTTGCAAGGGCCATAAGGTCTTGAGATGGGAGGCATGGAACTGTAATCATGACAATGACTACACTTTTTACACTTACATAACAGGTATTTTATAGCACCTTACAAAGGTCAGAAATCATTCCAGTGCCATTCAGAACTTCCAAAGTAAAGATCTTTTTGCTGAAAGGTAGAAGCTGAAAGCATTCCTATATGTCATAGTTGTTCTGAACCTTCATGGAAGACCATAAAAGCATTCTTACCATAGAACACAGTATTTTGATACTAAGCATCAGTAATTAGCTGCAATGGGTTCATCCTGGCTGGATGTCAGGCACCCATCAAAGCTGCTCTATTACTCCCCTACACAAGTGGACAGGGGAGAGAGAATATAAGGAAAAGTTCATGAGTTGAGATAAGGACAAAGAGAGATCATTCGGCGAATACTGTCACAGGCAAAACACACTTAACTCGGGGATATTAGCTGAATGTATTACTAACAAAAACAGAGCAGGATAATGAGAAGTAAAATAAAATCTTAAAAACATCTTCCCCATATCCCTCTCTCCTTCCTGGGCTCTATCTCCTCCCTCACAGCAGTGCAGGGAGATTGGGAATGGGGGTTACTGTCAGTTCATCACTTGTTCCTGCCACTGCTTGGGGGAAGAAACAGTTCTCCATGGACTGCTCCAATGTGGGTCACTTTTCCACAGGGTACAGACTTTCAGGCACAGCCTGCTCCAACATGGGACCCCACATGGTTACAAGTCCTAGTAGGTAACCTGCTCTAGTGTGGATTCCTCTCTCCACAGGTCTGCAGGTCCCTGTCATGCACCTGCCCCAGCATGGGTTTCCCATAGGCTCACAGCCCTATCTCAAGCATCCACCTGCTGTGGGTGGGTCTCCTTCACAGCCTGCAGGTGGATATCTGCTCTCCCACTGAATTCCATGGGCTGCAGGTGCACAGCTGCCTCACCACGGTCTTCACCACGGGCTGCAGGGGAATCTCTGCAAAACCTTTTTCTTCTTAAATATGTTATCCCAGAGGTGCTACCACGGTCACCAGTAGGCTCAGCCTTGACCAGTAGTGGATCTACCATGGAGCCAGCTGGCATTGGGTCTGTCGGACATGGGGGAAGCTTCTGGTAGCTTCTCACAGAAGCCACCCCATAGCCTCCTGCTTCCAAAACCTGTCCACACATTAACATTAGGTTATCAGCTGCACGTAATTGCAGAAGGCAGCACCAATCTTGCATTTTGCAAATCTATCATTAGTTTCATTTTTTCTTTACAAGACCAGAAAGAGCCTTGATGTTCTGAAATATGTCTGACAGCACCCACCACAACCCATTGCCTTTAGAGAAAGAGTTGTCAATTAGATATACATTCCAATTGTCACAGCTAAGCAATTTCTTAGACTAAAGGGATTCTGAGTGATTTCATGATACAAGAAAAGATAGACAATATAACACTTAAGAAAACTTATGTTATCAGTTGAGGTGTCACATAGTAATTGAAAAGATTTCATTGTCCACTCGAAAAAATAAGAATAGTCATGCAAAGGCTTCAGTGAGACAAAGATATGTGTGCCTCAGCATGTAGAAGACTGGGTTTGTAATGACAAAATCTTTGGGTCCATATAGTCAAGTTTTTTTGCAAGTAGAACCCTAGAAACAGCAGTGCTCAATTTAAATTGGATTTTGAGAGGGCTCTTTTTTCTGTGGCAGACAGTCAGAAATCCTGCTGACTGTCCAATTTACAAGGAACAGATGATGTCATTTTGATAAAGCTCTCCTCTAGCTTCACATACCCAAGTGTTCAGACAAATTCAGACTTTCTGCTTTCCATGAAACATCCAAAAAGGTCAGGATCCCAAAGACTGAAGGGAAATAAAAAAATAAGAAATGAAAGTACAGTATTTATCAAGTTTGCATTTTAACATCAAGCTATGTGACAGTGTGTATTATCAGTTGTGTTCAGGAAAATACAGCATATAATGAAGTTTCTTGATTCCTATAGGATTGAAAATCACATCAACAGACAAAATGTTGCAAGTAAAAGGACAGTATTTATTTATCTATTCATTTATTTATTTATTTTAAAACATGATTATGTTGTGAGAACTTTATTTTAAAAGATAGACCATAATATATTCAGTCAAAATTAGGCTGTTATATCTGAACTCTAATTTTTCATACACATAGTGAAAGAAATTTGTATTTAACAAATAGCTATTATTAATAGACCCTATGAAAAACATGTTCAAAAATAACTGCCAAAATCTCTCTTTAAATATACAAAACATCCTTGCTGTGCTGCAGATATCTTTCCTAAAAGCCAAAAATATCTAAGTCAATAGCTGAGTCCCTATCAAACCCTACTGAAAACAGTAGGGACATATATGTGTAAAAGCACTGTACAAAGTAAGCACAGCCTTTGTTTGTCTCAGTACTGAATATATCTGTATTTGTTTTAAAAATGTTTTATAAAAACTGTTATTATTGAACTTAGGTGCAGAAAAAAATGAGCCACTGACATTATCTCTCTTTACTAAAATGTCTCCTTTTCAGAATGTGAATCTCTTCTTATAATTCAAAGGGATTTTTACCACTTGTTTCAATGTAAGCAGGTGTGGTAGTTTAAAAAACAAGCTGGGAATTGAACTCCAAATAAGCTGCTCTTCTTGCCCTCACCACCCTCAGGTGAGAGAGGGACAAAGGCAGAGACTATGGGCTGAGGTAACAATTTACTTAAAACAAACAGCAGTGCAATAAGAAACATGCAGTAACAGAAAAATATTAATGACAAAAGTACAGAAAAGGCGCTTTACACATGAGAGGTGTTCACTACCTTGACTTAGTTCCACGAGGCCACCAAGACAAAGGCCAGGTGGTGGACGCTCTCCATAGGTAGCACCACATAGCCTCCTGGGAGAAAGATAAGGTGGTGGATACTCTCCACAGCCAGCATTCCCCATCCCTGAGCCCAAGAAAACAAAAAACTATGACAAAAGCCAGATTGTCTCTGCTGTGCCACACTGGCTGCTTCCAGACTGCTCTGCTCTGCAGGTTCAAATCTGCGTGGTGCCACCTCTTTGGAATTGCATCTCAGCTGCAAGCGCAGTTTTTCTGAAGCCACATCTTGGCTGTGTTCACTGCTTTTTAGAGTCCACAGTGCTGGCACCAGCAGCTTCCCCAGGGAAGAAACATAATGAATACAGCGTACTTCCCATGTGCATGCCTTTTGTTCTTCCCCCTGTCGCACCCCCCACAGTTGAAGTGGGTGGTACAGAACAGCAATTTAGCCACGCCCTCACAGATCTAGGCTCCATCCCTCTGCAAAAAAAACTAGGCCAGCAGGACTGAAACTTTTCTTCAGTACATCCTTTTGTAATCTCTCTTGGTTTTCCCCCTAATTCTATAATGCAAAACATTAAAAAATCTTTAATACATTAACTGAAGAAATCAGAACTCAAGTACTTCAGTTTATGAGGACAGTGTATAGATTAGTTGAATGGAAAACAGAGTGTTCAATTAAACAAAAACCAATTGCAAATAATGTTGCATGCTTTTTAATCAACATCCCTCTCTCTTCATCTGCTGCCTTTATAGCCCCTTCTGGCATTTCTTCTGGAATGAGTTTTTTAAGAATGTGCGGTATCCTGGATCATCCACATATTCATTCTGAAAGCGAGAACTCAATACTCTCTGCCTCTTCTTCTCTCCCAAGATAATATCTGATCCATAAAATGTGTCTTCAAATCTCATGTCAGAGGCTGTAGACTAAAACCAGACACAAATTACACATACATATAAATACAATTTTAACTTTTCCGTATTTTGGATGTACCATTCATTATTTAATTCTCTAAGTCTATAGTGTTCCTTAGAAACATGTCACTAACACCAGTTGGTAGTTTTGGCTTTTATCGAGAAACCACACAATCCTTCTAATTCTAGGTGAAAAAAAAAACAGAAGCAATGCAACACAGAAGCAATGCAACTGTTGGGCAGGTGTGATCCTAGCGGTATCAAGTATTATTCACCACTTTGTGTGATTCAGAAATGTTTTAAATGCAAGGTACAATGGCATGGACCCCTGAAAAGAGACCCACACACTGCCTAACTTGCAAAGAATCAGGGTTACCGTTTGGTTATTTGTCAGCAAACTTAAAACAGTTGGGAAACAACATTAACACAGCAGTGGGGCAACAAACAGCAAGCCACTTGGCAAAAACCAAAGGCAGAATATTTTGGACCAACTTTGACTGCTGGAGTAATGGAAAAATTCCAAAGATTAAGAAAAGCATCACTTAGAAGGAACTGGCATAATTTCTTTCAATAGACAGAAACAGTATCATAAGTTGTGTTTAACTTCCACTATGTTCAGCATGAGGAGGGGAAGGAGGTGTTGGGCATACTTGTAGGACCAACCTACATATTTCTAGAATTGGAGGCACTAGTAGAAAATTGTGCAAAGTAGTAGAAAATCACTAGCAGAAAAACAGAAAATGCACTCGCAGAAAATCATGCAAAGAAAATCATGCACTGGCTGTAGTGTGTTTTATTCAGTTGACCAAATTTAATGTTTTTGAGCTATAGCTAACCAATGAAGTTAATGGTGTCAAATAAAAAAGAAAGAAAGAAATACTGAGTTGTAAAAATACATTTAAAAACCAATAGCTTTAACCCAATTATTATTATCCTGAATGAAACGCAACAATTTGCATTCTACAGAGCATGCAGTTAATTAGAGATGGTTCTTCCATGCAGTCTCTAAAACAAAAAAATGGCAATGGTATGCTTTCCGAGTATAATGAAAAACCCCATTAAATATAACCAGATGGTTCATTTAACATTTTCCAAGACATCTATCTTAACCCTAGACAGTCAGAACACTGAAAGATTTCTGCACTTATCCCAAATTCATCAACAAAAAGGTTTCTTAATCAAGAATATCTGACCACTGCATTTTGCATTAGAAAGCAGTGCCCTAAGACAGGTAAAAGCAGTCACCTCCTCTAATAAGTGTATGAAAGAACTTTCCCTTTTCAAGCTTTAAGTGTCATGCTCTTCGTGAACCCCAACACTTTCTCACATGACATACATACATAAAAATTACATACATACATAAAAATGGTGGATGTTGTTTGAAACTGCAGGAAACTTAAAAAAGTAGCAAAGATTTGGTTTTAAACCAAAGACTAGTAAAATGTCTGCCAGTGAGTCCTGCTAGTGAGTCCTGCCAGTGACAATAATGAGTTCTGATCAGTCACATTGTTTCTTACATGAAGTTAAGTGCATTTTTATTAAATTCAAGGCTTTTAAAATCACAAAGGTCTGAGAAGCTGTAAAGTTTTTTTAAAAATTATACATGTTATAAGCATACTGAAAGAACAGAATGTCTGTCAATTCGAATGTTTACTAACTTGATCATTCATGATTTGACAGATGATCAAACATGATGTCCCTCTTAGGAGAAAAGAATTATGTTTGACGACTGCATTTGCCTGTACTGGAAGAACAACTAACCATTCTCACTAGCAAATGGACACGTCTCCTAATTGTGCTGATTTAGCCACTCTTATTAGTATAGGCTCACAAAACACTTGTCCAGCTTAAACTGAAAATCCAAAATAAAGCCAAGGATAGTGTTATTGGCATTTTAAGCATATATATATATATAATAAAGTTATTATCGTAAATACTCACAAGACGTGCTTTTACTCTCTTAGGAAGTTCTTCATCTAGTGTATATATTTCTTCTCTCTTCATTACTATTTGAGAACCATCTTCAAACTCAACCTAATTGAAAAAATGGGTATTTAAAAATAAAATCATAATTTAAATCTTGCAGCAAGTTTCTGGAAATGTCTTCACATAAAAATACATACGTAAACAGAAAAGATGTATATAAAAATATTTTACTATCTATTTTAGGGCAGCAAAATTAGGTTAAAACATAAAAAAAAGTTATTTCTTGGGAAATGCAACACATTCTTAAATTGAAATTAATATCTAAGCAAAGAGTCTTCAAAATCAGCACTGACAAAGATACAATAAAGTAAAATTTGTTAAGGTTAGGAATGCCAAACAGTAACAAGACAGGTAGGAGTGACATACTAAAATGTCTTCGTGTTCTTTTTGTCTCTAATTTTTTACTTGCTTATAATAAATAAAAAATTAATTTTAACATCCTGTGATTCAAGGTTGAGGAAGACCACGTCAAAAGAAAGTGTGAGTGACAACTAAGGAAATACCAGTTAACAGAATTTTATTGAATCTGATGGAATTTCTTCTAAATGCTCTGTTCAGAAGATGAAAAGCTTTATCAGGCTTAGGTTTAGATTTAATCCAATATGAACCCCGTTAGCAGAAAATGAGAAAGGAAATGTAACTAGGTGTGGGGAATGTTAAAATGCTGAGGCTTTGAAGCATTTAAGCTTTTTCAGTAGCTGCTGATTTTTTTTTCTATTTTAATACTTAACCTAACAATTGTGAATTTCAGCTATTATCTGTGACTGCAGTTTTAGCTCCTACAGAAACTGTACTTTGAAGTTTGGTATAAAATTAGAAGAAGTCCCATTCCACATCCTTCCTTGACTTTATGAGACCATGTGAATGTCAACAGAACACTTGACTAGAAAAATAAGTCCAAATACAAACATAAGAGAACAATGACTTATCAAAAGTATTATTACAGATAAAACTGAAAAATCATGCATTTGATCTTGTAAATGGACTGGGTTTGTAGTTTAAAATTAAAAGTTTGGATATGTCAGATTAATCGTGAACAGCTGAAAAATCAGATATAATATATTCATTCTCAAAAGCCAGGATACACACTATGATCTATTAGCTTCTTTAAAAGCAATTTCTTTCACTGCAACTAACAGGGATGCACAAATCTGGTATGCATTTAAAATGCACAGAGTACACGGATGGATAACAAAGTCACAGAAGTCATCCTTGCTCTTCTCTGTTTCTGTTACTAATCTCACAGGCCTAGTCTGTCAGCAGTATGTTATAGGAAATTAACAGCCAATTTGCCTTAAGCTTGTTTAATAAAATGATGGCAGATTAGGTATTTTTCACCAGGATGCAGGAACAGTCTTTCTGCTATTCCTGCTCCTTTCCTGCACAATACATTTGGTAGTACATTTTCGCATAATACAGTTGGTAATAATGATTTTTGCATCACTCGTGGAAGAACTGGGTAGGAAATGAACTCTGCCACTCCATGTGATCATAAAATCCACTCCTGAATGGTCAGTGCATTTGTTTTCACTTGTAGTATGCAGTAGGATGAAACCGCTTCATACCAGAGAATCTGTCATGCTTCCACTATGAAATATATTGCACATTTACAATGAAGAGTAACTGGAAGTTCTTCAGCTTTAATTCAGCATATCACACTGGATATAACTGGATATAACACAACAAGAGCTTCTCTAAGACTTTCAGTAGTATCATGATTCATGCAAACTATAAACCCACCATCTCTAATAGCTTCAATTTAATTCAGTTGCAGATCCTACATTTCAAATCATCAATTTTATCAAGCAAGTTATTTTATTTAGACTTCTGCTGCTGTACTGTGCCTGTGTAGTATGTTATTCTCTCCGTGAGATTTCTTTTTATTAGACCACCACAGATTACAAGGAGAGTTGAAACTGTTAGAAAGCAATTAATAGAGTGAATGGATAATTTAATAATGTCAAATGAAACTCAAACCTTATTAGTGAACCTCAATATCAGAAATGATCACAAAATCAATTTAGAACATATTACAAATTTCAGTTGAACACCTGCTTAGGGATTGTGTAGATGTCAAAGGCTGGCAAATGTCAAACTGGATGACACAAATTGTAGTGCATTGTGTCATAACTCCTGCATGTTCAAGTATCGGCACATTTAGTACAAATGTTTCACAAACACGAGGAAAATTCACAGATTTATCCAGGTTTGCCTTATTAGATCTAAGAGATCACTCAGAAGGCTCAGTAAGAGTCTGCAACAGAGATCACACCAGAAGAAAATTGGAGTATGCATGGGCCCTGGGAGCTTTCAGACAGACTGCAGAAAGACCATAGGAAGAACAATTAATATGTCTTGAAGTTAACCTTGCACCCACCACGTCATAGACTTTCTGTAACCTGTGGCCACGTGGCAGCCTCCTATGCATCCTGAAGACTGAAATGCCTGACTGTCTCCACAGTCCTACGTGTTGCAACCTGGACTGCCTCTAACCTTTAAACTTTGTCATTTCCCCCCCATGATAGAGGTTGTTACAAGGCAATTTACAGTAATCTCCCACAGGTCTGTTATACTGAGGAACTCTAAATCTTGCTGAACCTCCAAATGCTTATCCATTTTCTTTAAACAAAATTGATTTCATCATGTTGTTCAAGAGGTCTAAAATAAGACAAAGTTGTTTATGTCATATTCCTTCAAATATGAAAGATAACAACATTCATCTAATCTACCTCACAGTATTCCTCAAAGACCAACTGCTCATAAGACTAAATTATTTGAAGATTAATGTTACTATAGAACAATAATATTCATACTTTATAAAGAACTTTCCACCTTCACAACAGAACACAGCTGCAAAATACAAGGGAAGAGCTAAGATTCAGATCCCCTCAAGGGATTAGGCATTTGAGGACTCAAGTTCAATTGCAAGTCACTGGGAAAGTGAGAAGGTCAATGCAGCAAGTCATTTAGCTTCCCTGTGTTTTAATTTATCTACAGATATAAGAGTAAATTTGCCATTTTGGTACAGTAATGTGAGGCCCTTTGATGAAAGGAGTTACATAAGTGAAAATTATTACATATATATATATAAATGCAATGTATCTAGATTCTCATTTTTTCAGAAGTGCTATTATTATTGTGATTGTTTTATTGCAGTTTCTACCATTCACCTGGGTACTCAAAGCTGCTGACTGATTTTTCTCAAAGGCAAGCACATAAAAAAAAAAAATTATTGTGACTGAAATCAGAAGTCAGCTTTTTAGCCTTGCCTTCACTGTTCAGTTCCCTTTTGCCTTTGCTGAGGATACAACGCTCCTTAGATTAATTAATTCATAAGTGCCTCAGAAAAAAGAAAGTGGGCCTATTTATGCTCTTCTTTTTACTGTCCTCTCTTCCATCCTCTTATGAAATGGTTCATTGTAGGCACATACCAATATTTAATTTTATATCATTAATCACACAATTACCTGACATAAAATAAAAGTAAATAACCTGCAGAAAATAATAAATATAATGTATCAATTTTAATGTTCCACCTGTTCACCCGATTTCTTATTAAACAATTTTATTGATTTTGTAACAACAAGTGAAACTTCAACTCCCAAAGACTGCACAGCATTTGCTACCGGCTTAGACAGTTTTATATATTAATTTAAATGCATTAAGAGTTACAATAAGAGTCCAAACTTCAGCCCTCTGCATCTTTGAAGGTGTGGCTGGCTGTTCCAATGCTAGAGCCAAATGAGCAATTTACAATAAAGACATCAGAAAAGCAAGCATATGGCAATAAATATAGATACTCACCTGATACATATAAGTTGTGTTTGTTCCCAGATACTTCACATCATACACTTTTCCATCAGGCCATCTCACTTGGACAACCTCTCCCTCTGCAGGTGGACCCAGCCTTAGGCAATCTCTGCTCTATTTACAAAGAAGGATGGATTCTCCAATCAGTGAGTGAGCCACTGCACTGAAATTAGCAGTAAACTGCTTTTTACAACTTGGTAATTGGAGGAGATTTATTACCATGTGTGTTTCAAGTTTTATAATCCTACTAATAGGCTAATGCTAATGTTAGCCTTCATGAAAATGAAATACTGACCAAAGAAACACTCTCTTTTAAGCTTGATGCTGCATTGGCAAGGCAACATATGCATAAATCAGATAGCTACCAGCAACTGTGATACACTTCCACCAAAATTAATTTCTAATGCACATTGAAAATAAGAATCACTAAAAGGCAATTGCATATGTGCAACACTTTCTCTTTTACATATTCACGTAACACATTTTGTTAACCACAGCACATTTTTGTTACATGTTAATTCTGCTGACCAAAACATACATGAATCAAACCATAAATAGTGAGAACACCAATGAGTTCTTTGCTTAGCTGAAGGAGAAACATTGAAAGAATACAAACACTGACAAAGAAAAATTTGGTGGAAAATTTTTTTTCCGTAAGATATGAAGCATCTTTTTCCAGTGTTTTGGCCAAATTTTGTGCCTGACTTGTTCAGCATGTCATAGCACCAGTAACTGCATCATTAATGGCTTCTTTTGCCCCATATGGCTCAGTATGACCTAAGTGACTCATTTTCAGAGCACACTGACCAGACACCCATAAGAGCAACTGTCCGCTTGAGGAAAAAAAGGACCAGAAAAGGATTGGGTCATATCTGGACTCACCAATTCTTTGGAAGCTATCTCTGCCAAACACTCACGCCAACAAAGGTATCTCTACTTCATAGTGACTACATCATAAGACTAGTCATGTAAATCAGCACTAATTTACTGATATTCTCCTAGGTGTGAGAGGACTTACTCAGTGACCATATTATCTGAGCTAACTGATAAGAAGTTTAGATGGGAAGAAAAAAGATAAAGACAAGGACTCAGGCATAAGGACTTAGTGAAATAATCATCATGACAAAGAACTTAAAATGTGGGAGCAAAAGTGCACCACAGTGATTCTTACTGGGACATTACCTTGTTATATATCATTCTAGCCAAATCCAGCCTTTACAAATGGATTTTAACCACATGTATCTTAATCCATGAACTTGATTCAACACAGGATAAAAGAAACTAAAAGCTGGATTTTTACAGAAACACACTTTCCTCCATGTCAGTACAGTCTCTGTCGTTCCTCGAGTGCTGTGTAAAGGGGACAGATTTAAAGTATGCCCTCTGTGTTTGTCTGACAGAGGTCACTGTGACAAACACAGAGAGATATATTTGTTCAACTTCAGCATATATTTGGAGTAGTAGATGGCATTACTGTATTACCTTTCCCAGTATTTCTAGGAGAGGCGGGGGAGAAGGAAAGGATGGCTGCTGCAGTGGAATAATTATGACTTCACAGGGGACAGGGATTGCTAAATACTATCATAGTTCTGACAATAAATTAAATGAGACTGTATTTTTAATGCTCTCTTCTCAGTGATGACTGTCAAAATGGTTACTTATGATACTTCTTCCACTATCTATTTCTTGCAAAAGTGCAAAGAAGGTTCTTGGCTAAGTGTCTTCAAACAAACTTTTAAAATGCATCATGGAATAGAGAAAATTTCCTGAAAACAAACAATCTATCAACAATGTCAAGCCTAACATTAATTTTCCAAGAACAAAAGCCCAGCGTGAATTGCTCCCTTTGCACCTTGCACAAGAAAAAAATCTCACAGCCTCTCTAGAATAGCTAATGGAATTGCTCATACGGAAAATTAGAGTTCCCATGCAAATAACTAGACAAATAACAATCCCATTCTTCATGTATCATTGCAACGTCTTAGTCTAAGAAACAATGTTTGGGAAACTCATACTAGTTTTTGTTGATTTCTACCGGAGCTCCTACCTTTTATTTTCACGGGAGCATAATCATTTCAGATTCTCTTTTTACTGTACAAATAATTCTTACAATTTTCTTCTTGGGAATGATTAGACACATTTCTTACACTGAGGAAATTGCAAAAATGCAAACTCACTTTTCTCAATCATATAATGAAAAGTCAGACAGCAGAATATGGTAATCTTTCAAACATTCCCATACACCAGCTGCAAATAACATATAGTGTAAGTTCAATCTACATTCAGCTTACAAACCTGTTCAATTACATACCGTATTTTCTTCTTCACAGAAATGGACAAAATCATGCCCATCTGCACTGAAAATCCTATTAACTTAAGTGCCCAGTTTCACATTCCCACTGTCACACAGCTCAGAGCCCAGCTCCAACCATGACTAGCTATCTTTAACGATGAACACTTCAAGGCCTCCCCAGGCAATTAGTCCAGCATTCATCAACCCTCACTGTGAAAAAGTCTTCTTAAGTTAAGAAAAATTTTGTGTTAAGGAATTTCCTGTATTTCAATTGGTACCTGTTGTCTTTCATCTTGTCACTCTGCATCACTCAGAAGTGTGTGGCTTCATTCTCTTTACTTCCCCTATCCCATATTTATACACTTGGATAAGATTCTTCTGAGTCCACTGTTCTCTAGGCTGAACAGTCGCAGCTCTGTCACCCCCCTCACGAGAAATGCTCCAGTTCCTCCATCACTTTCATATCCTTTTACTGTATTTGCTCCTCTTTGTCCACGTCCTTCTTGTACAGGTGAGCCCATAACTTGACATGTTATTGCAGATACAGTCTCATCAATATTACATTTACAGCCATTCAAAAAGACACTCTATGAGTAAAAACCTGTAAATAATAACACTTCTGAAAGTTTTCTTGTTTAATGAAGGTGGTACTTTCTGGGCGTAGAAACATTTATTTTGGGATTCATTTTATGCACTAAACTAATATAGTGAGCAATCTATTTGCAACAGATGTTGGAAAAATATGCTGAAATACTGGGTTTGTCTTCTTTGCTGTCACTTAGGAATTCACATGTACAGCACTCCAGATAAAGAAGACATTTCTTCTATTTTTCTTCTGATATTCCCTTGTTTCTACCAGAGAGGTTGATATGGTTCATTTAGGCTGGAGAGAGAATTTGCAAATAACAAATCCAGTTGCAGTGGCAGGATGGTGATGGTTGACACAGATTAGGAACAACTGTGGAGCCACACTAGGAAAATAAAAGGAAGTCTGCACCTGAAGCATGAACTCAAATCCAGGAACTTGAAACATTGCAAGATTCCCATAATTTGAATACAGCCATTGACACTTGAAGAAAATATCTTAATTTTTAAAAAGTTTAAACAGATGCTTTCCTAAATCAAGGCTAAAAAGTATAGGTATTCTGGTGTATTTGATATTCTGGTTTTATGAACTACTGAGACTATTCTCCCAAGCTATGAGAAAATGATGCACCTTGGATATCTACGATTTTATTTTGACAATGTTTTGCTGGACTATGAGGTTATTAATTCAGCTATTTCAAATTCAACAGTTATTTTCAAAGTTATAAGAATGTAACAGACTTTTGCCTTCTCTTAGATTTGATCCAAATGAAAACAAATATCTACCCCTGAAAAGCTCCTCCTCCTGTAAGTAAAGCGCAGGTTTGTGTCTACTTAGTGAAACTGAATAGGTACAAGTCTGTGGGCCTGATGAGATGCAACCCAAGGTCCCGAGGGAGTAACTGGCTGGTGCTTTTGCCAAGCCACACTGTCATAATTGAAAATTCACAGCAGTCAGACAAGGTTGCCAGTGACCGGAAAAAGGGAAACATTATGCCTATTTTTAAAATGAGGAGAAACTAGAGATAGGAAAATACAGGCCTGTGAGCCTCACCTCTGTGCCCCAGAATATCATGGAGCAGATCCTCATTGAAGAAATGTTAAGGCACGTGCATGGCAAGGAGGAGATCCTAGACAGACAGCGCGCCTGACCAATCTAGTGGCCTTCTGTGATGGTGTGCTGGTTCTGGCCAGGACAGGGTCAATTATTGCAGTAGTCAGGAAGAGGCATGGCTAGGGCCCAGAGGTTATTCTATACCACCTCATGGGGGCAGGGGAAAGGAGGGAAGGGGGGGCAGGAAGGGGTGGTTTTGTGTGAATTATTTCTTTTCTTGTACTCTCTGTCATTAGCATTGTTATTGTTACCCTGTCTTGAGACTGGTGCTCTTTAGTATCTTTATCAACAACATAAACACTGGCATCAAGTGCACCCTCAACAAGTTTGCCGATGACACCAAGCTGAGTGGTGCAGTAGACACAACAGAACAAGATGCCATCCAGAGGGACCTTGACAGACTTCAGAAGTGGGCCCAAGAGAACCTCAAAAAGTTCCACAAGGCCAAGTGCAAGATGCTGTACCTAGACTGGGGCAATCCCAGACGTGAACACAGACTGAGAGAAAAACTTATTTTGAGCAGCCCTGCAAAGAAGGACTCATGGATGAAAAGCTGGACATGAGCCAACAGTGTGTGCTCACAGCCCAACAGGCCAACCATATCCTGGGCTGAATCAAAAGAGGAGTGGCCATCAAATCTAGGGAGGTGATTCTGTCCCTCTACTCTGTCCTCGTGAGCCACCACCTGGAGTAATGTGTCCAACGCTGGGGCCCCCAGCAGAGGAAATATGAGTCTATTGGAGAGGGTCCAGAGGAGGGTCACAAAGATGATCATCTTTGTGAGGAGGGGGCTGGAGACCCCTCCTATGAAGACAGGCTGAGAGACCTGGGGCTGTTCAGCCTGAAGTAGAGAAAGCTTGGGGGAGACCTTATAGCAGCCTTGCAGCACCTGAAGGAGACATAAAAAAGAGAGTGAGCAACCTTTTACAGGCACAGATAGTGACAGGATAAAGGGAAACACTTTTAAATTCTAAAAGAGTAGGGATTTAGATTAGATGTTAGGATGTTGTGGATGCTCAATCCCTGGAATTTTCAAGGCCAGGCTATATGGGGCTCTGAGCAACCTGGTCTAGTGAGTGGCATTCCTGCCCATGGTAGGGGAGGTGGAACTAGACGGTCTTT